TTTTTTAATATGAATATATATATATATATATATTCATATTAAAAAAAGTTTTACTTGGTTTAATCTATTTTTTTCAATCAATGCAATGTGATTATAAAAACTGGTAAAAGTGACAGTTGCAAATTGTATTCTGAAATACATTGATTGATCTGTGCTTCCCAGAATAAGTGCATCAAATTTTCTGTCTAAATTACAACCTTCTGTCCTTGCTTCTTAGTGCCCATAGAAAATATACTCATCTTTATCTTAAAACACCTTAGACCAATCAAAATTTTAGTCTAATAAATAATTTCTACAAAAGCATCCTTCTGTTCTTACTGTAAATTTAAAGTATTATGACAGAAATCGCTTCTCTTCCATCCTTTCAGCATCATTTATTGGTTCTGTGCATTTTTATACTCCTTATCATTGTTCCACTTATATACCTCCATTAAACTTCTTTTTTATTATTATTTTTACAGTCACTCATATTTCAGGGAAACTGTGCAGTTGTGATTTAATGATTATATTTTTGTATATATTCTTTAGATCATATCTTTGTGAGTTACATTACTGCTACAACTTTAGCTTCTACTTCAAATGTTAATAAGTGCCATTAATTAGTGCTTAACGAGACAATTCTAACTGATTTCTAACTTACTTATTCAATACAGGCAATAGATATGTGCTACAGCATTAATATTACTGGATTCATGAATTGGTTATTTGAGGAGTTATTTGTAGAATATAAACTTTGATGATTTTGTTCAGTGTGTCTGCTGGAATCGTTTACTGCTCCTAGCTTACCTTTCTCACTGTCCACATTTTCACTCCTCTCAAACCAACTTTCCATCTGTGGCCTTATCCATTATCCATCTACTCATGCTTTAAAAGCCATCCATTTACTACACTTACATAAACCATAAAAAACCTATGGCAGTCATTGACTGCGTTTAAATGTGGTTTCTGGCTCATTCTTACAGTAGGTGTATAGGTTAGGTTTTGACTATAGAAAACGGTGATCCCCAAGTTTTCCAAAACCTTTAATCCTCTTTTTAATGGTCCTTTTACAATGAGTGGAACGATAAAAGATTTGTTATATTTGTATTAATTTGACAGCCTGGCACTTTTAATGAAAAATACTTTTAATACACCAGAAGACAGACTTTAAGTTGCAAGGCCATGTCTGAATGAGAAGAATTTGTCGTCTTTGTAGGGGACCTCTCACTCTTCCTTTGTTTGACTGTGTTCAGTGAAAATGTATTATTGCAATTTGACTTACCAGTTAAAGACTTTGGAAAATTCATTAAACCACCAAAAAAGAACAAACTAAAAACTATTACATAGGAAAAAAACATTATCGACCAATGGTAGTTTTCTCTCGCAGTAAAAGTAAAGCAATTATGTAAAATAAATATGTTATTTCAGTGGTGCTTTGGTATATGCAAATAATGTGTGTATGTTTTTTGGGGGGATATTTGGTATGGATGGTCTAAATTCAGTTTCTGGCATAGATTATGCATATGACTGACAGGGGGCCTGAGAACTAAACCTTCCAATACTGATATTACTAGCAATGAGCATTTGAGTTGCTTGAAATACAGTACACAGTATTCCTCTGATTTTATATTCATTTATATTCATTTTATTCATCAATAGAAGCTTGAATCAGTTTTTTTTTTTTTTTTGTGGATATATAAATGCATCAAACAATTGATTTACTTTTCCTCCTTTTGTGTTCTCTTTAGGTTTTATGGGACACAGGAGCAATCCAGGTCCATGTGAGCATAAGTACTGTGGCCTGGGACGCCATTGTGTGGTCAACCATGAGACTGACCAAGGGGAGTGCAGATGCTTGGATCATTGCAAACCACACTACAAACCTGTGTGTGGGTCAGATGGAAAGCTTTACCAAAACCATTGCGAGCTCCACAGAGCATCCTGTCTACAAGGACACAGGATCACCATCATGCACAGCGAAGAGTGCTTCTACAAGGGTAAGAGAAAGTGCGACCTTTCTATGGTGACGTAACATCTGGTATTTTATTGCAATGCTGTTAAGGTTGACATGATAAAAATGAGTGACAAGTACAATTTAAGTGTTTCCAGGGTTTTATTTTTATTTGAATAACAAATGCTGGTATTGTAGTACTGATCCTCTGATATAACAGTAATTTATCTAATACACTACTTTAGTACAGTGCCCATGAAATGTCATGGATATAAATACAAAATACAACATGTGCACAAAATAATATTCTGTTGCAATGAAATACTGATTGGTGGCCACAAAGTACTTAATTGTGCCCAGAAATTACAATTTACTAATAAGGGCATGATATACTAATCAGTAAGAATGAGAAGTCAGCAACCTGTTGTATGGAAGTGTTAAACACCAGCATAATTACAGTATGTAATTGTGGAACATATCTAGAAGGTATGAAAGAAAAAATAGTAAGACACTGCACTTTGGACATAATGTTCACAAATGGTTATTTATAATGCAAAGTGATCTACGTGATGATAAAAATGCAGTACTTAAGGGCCAAATATTATTATTTTGTTGGAACAAATCACTTCTTTGTGGATAACAAACTAGAACTTGACGTGTAGGCACATTTGTGGCCTGCTAGAGATTGTTTTGCAGGGCTCTGGCAGTGCTCCTCCTGTTCCTCCTTGCAGAAATGTGGAGGTAGCGGTTCTGCTGCTGGGCTGCTGCCCTCCTTCGGCCTCATCCACATCTCCTGGTGTACTGGCCTGCCTCTGGTAGTGCCTCTAGCCTCTGAACACTACCTTACAGACACAGCAACCCTTCTTGCCACAGCTCACATTAATGTACCATGCTAGATGAGCTTCAGTACTTGAGACACTTGTGTGGGTTGTAGAGAATCTCATGCTATGACGAGTGTGAAAGTACTACATTCAAAAGTGACCAAAACATCAGCCAGAAAGCAGGTAGTCAGAAGTGGTCTGTGGTCCCCACCTGCAGAACTACTCCCTTAATGAGTGAATCTAGCTAATTGCCAATCATTTCCACTTGTTTTCTATTTTATTTGCACAAAAGCATGTAGTTGTTTCTTATTGTCAACATTATAAAAAGAGTTTGCTTTGTTTTCGCTGAGCTAGCTTAAGATCATGAACATCAGGATACAACAACACCAGGATGACATTATTTAGTCGCGACATCTTCTCATTGACCAGGCTATTTACAATATTTAACTCAACTCTTTCATCATAGGAGGAAAAAAGATACACACACTTAAGATAATATCCCTACTTGTAATAGTGTTTACCTAAAATATCATGACATTATAAACTTTAGTGCATCCTTTCTTTGGTGGACGAGAAACAAAGGGGGCAAAAAACAACCCATACAGATTTACTGGCAAAGCCACTAACTGTCCTTTAACAAAGGAAATAAGGCTATTCTCCATTCTTTTGATCCAAGATGTCATTGAAATAAGAGCTCCTGACATTGTTTTTCCTTTTTGGGCAAAGAGAATAGCAACAAAACACTGGCAAAGCACGAATGCATAATGTAATAATTTTGTTTGTTGTTTTTGTTCTCTGGTTTATTTGTGAATTTAAAAGTATATTCACAAAAGACAAAGTATAATTCTTAGATCTATATATTCTCTCACATTAAACCTTTTGTGGTTCCTAAAACAAAGAAAATAACACATATGCTTCAAAAAGTATTTGTAAAAAGAAAAACCTCAGTTCTGGCAATGTATTTCAAAAAATATAAATTTGCAACATATAACTGATCCACAGTGTGTTGCTTGGGATATATTGAGACTGCAAGTAAAGCCAGTGTTAACAATCACAGCCTTTGTGTCATCTCAATCACAGAAAAAGGCTTAGAGATCAATGATACCCTGGTGAGTGACTGTTGTAATCAGCCTTTCTCATGCACCTTGTCCTGTCAGACCGCCTCTTCCCTCCTTCTCTACACCCGGTGTTCACAATGCAGAATGGGATATTTGACCAATGTCAGGCAATCAATATTAGATCAACGGGAGCCAAAAGGGGACTAAAAGATACACAACTTCTCTTTTTTCTCCATTTCATTTCTTTTTCAGTCTCAATAGGTTTTCTTTTCACTGTGACTGATAAGTAATCAATTATTCAATGGAGAGTCACTCCAGGGAGAGAAATGTTTCATCCCCTTTTGGCTGATTTGAAACCTTTGCTGTACCTGTCAGGTTTCAGAATATGGAATGAGTTAAATTTAGATCGCTTCAACATTTTAAAGTTAAAAGATTTTAATGTTCAAATGAAAGAAAAAAAATGAAAGAAAAAAAAAACATAGTTGTGGCAATCTCTGTTGGAATGAGCTATGTCAGTTAAAGAAATAAACTGAGCCAAAGCCTTGGAGCTTCAATATAAATGAAAGTTATTGAGTGATTAAAATCAAACATGTCCTGAATAGTGGGACTTTATTATGTATTTACCCAATATACTTTAGATCACTTTTCTATTAAAACACAGAGACAAATATCTTTGTCATATTAATCATTGTTATATGTAGCGTGGTGTGCTTTTGTTTTATTGGTATTTACAAATTATATTTTCAATTTGTAGATAGTGATTAATCTTGTATTCTGTGATATAAAATATCTGTTTTTACGTGCATTCTCTACCCTCTTGTTTGACCTGTTGCTACGTACTTTACTGTCAGGTGAAGTAGCTTCATCTATATATATTCAAGATCGTTTGCCTTCAATGTGATGGATTATCCAAAATAATTAAATGAGTGCCTCATTGTATAGTGTTGGGAATGGTTCTTTATAAAGTAACTAGAAATAGTTACTCCTTACTTCTCCAAAAAGTAACTGAGTTAGTAACACAATTACTGCTCAGTGAAAGTAACTTGTTTCTAGCCAAAGTAACTATGCAGTTACTTTTTGTAATTTAAAATGTAAAAGAATTTGGACATTTTTCTTGTTATTGGAATTTCAAATACAACTAGAGGTTAAATTATGGAATCTAAAACGGTTGTTATTAGATAATGAATTAAATAATTAATAGGTGTAGAAATATGAAAACATTGAAAACTTTTCTGAACTATTTTGGTATTTGCAGTTTGACAAGTGAGTTGCAATAAACTTTAATTATGTAGATGTGATTATGTTTCTTGTTTATAATGAAAGGAAAATAAGATACTGTAGAACTTTATATTTTTGCACACTAACAGCCTACAGCTGGCTATTACATAGGTATGAGGTACTAAAATATAATGCTTTTAAAGCAATTTAACAAAAACAAATATACTTTGCAATAGAATTCAACAGGGTCTATGCTATTACAGGAAATAAAATACTAGCAGGACTGTATCACCCCAGGAATTTTGAGTGAAAAAATTGAACCATGTAATTAAAATCATTATAGCCCTGAGAACGCACAGAACATGTGTTGATAAAAGCAGCAGCTGTTAGGTAGTGTTAAGATGGTGTGGAGATTCTTTAAAATACAGCATCTAACTAACATATAGTCTGTGTTCTCAAACATAATGAGCAAATCACAGAAACATCAATCACTGATGCTTTTTCCATAGGAACGCTGTCATTGAATCGGTGGCTCTCAGCCATCTTCACTCCTCTCTGTTCATGCTAAAGTTTCACTTCACTGTTATGTCTACCCCATGTGCTTACACCAGGAAACTGTAGTCCTTATTTATTCGTGTTAGGTAAGGAATAACTAAATCCATTTAAACCATAGAAATGACTAACATGTTATTGACTTTCACAAAATAATTAGTTATAGAGCTAGTCACTGCAAAAGTAAAGAAGTTACTGTAACGCGAGTTATAACGAGTTATTCCCAACACTACTCAGCAGCAGGAGTAGCCAATCCCTGTCATAATTTTTTGCAATCTTCTCTCTATATCTCCATAGTTTTGTATGTTACTGCAATAGATGCTGTAAGTTAATGCAAAACATTGGAAGCGGGCAAGAAAAACAAAACAAAAAAAACACTAAGATGAGTGTTTAAAAAACTTTTTTTTGCCATTAAATCTTGATTTTATTTTATTTCAATTCTTAAATGTCACACACCAAAACTTTTCTCGTTAATTTATGATATCTGCCTGTAAAATTGAGGAAAAATAGACACTGGCATTGTGGTTTGGCTGTTTATCTTATGGTTCAGCTCATATTGTCAAAATAATTTATAGAAACTAGTCTGCATTAACAATCTTACAATTACAAAAAACAGAAAAATGAAAAAAAATATAGAGTCACTTCAATCTCTTTCCCTGATTGTAGCTGGAAAGGACTCCTTCAGGTGGACTGGGAGGGTTCTAGGATGAGGGAAAGCCAACTACAACACCTGCTGTAGTTTGGTGAAAGTATGTATTGATATCAGAGCCTCAAAAACTTCCTGTATTTACACAATAGCTTGCCTTGGTATTAGTCACTTTATTCTCTGAAACAGTTTCAATATCTGCTTAATAAAGGGAGAAAATGGTTAATTTGGACACACTGCTTCTCTATGATTCTCTTTGCCATGGTTCTACTCCTTTGAATTGTTCCCCTTTAGATTTTCTTGTTTAGTGGTTAGCTGAGTTACAGTTACAGCTTAGTTTAGTGGTTAGCTGAGTTAACCCTTATTCAGTTGATTGATATTAAATTTGCTTTGTAAAAATTAATGTAGCTCTTTCACTATTGTCTCAAAAACTTCCAGACTCAGAACTTTGCAAATGGCAACTATAGTATTCCAGAGTTTATATATTGAAGCATATCCATGCTACAGCTGGACAAACAACAAATATTGACACAATCCAAGGATATGCTTTTACCTACATCTTTTATAATGGACAGTACATAAAACCTAGAAAGTCATGTAAAAGCAGAGACCTGTGACATGATTTTTTCACAGGTGACATGACTAGTGTAGTGCAGTGGGTTGCTCTAAAATAACCATTCAAAAACATGGTGACTAGGACATACCTAATTTAGGTGCCTTTTTAAACCCCTTACCTCAGCTATATGTCTTA